TGCATAAAAATGTTAAATATATCTTCGGAAAGTCCACTTTCTGGGTGACAACTATAACACAAAAATAATAGGAAATTTTGTTCGAACAATTAAATTAAATGTAGCGATCTTGGGTTGAAAATAATATAACTTCAGATAAGAGTTGCCTTTCGATTGATTGATTTCCCTCGATGACCTCAAGACACTGACACCTTTTATCTTCGAACGTGTAGAATCGACGTGTCGAAGTTTTCACTCGTTCCAAGAATCATGAGATCTTGTAATGAGTTGGGGGATACTGAGGAATCTTTTTTCAACTATGCGCTTTTAGCGCTCTGGGGGAGACTGGACTCTGGCAAACCATAGGTATATGTATGTTTCTAAATATAATAATTGTGTTCAAATATTCAATGCATTATACGTGGTGTTGTTTTGTTATTGGTTGGTCTCACACTGTAAGTGGCTTAAAGTTGGTGAGAGACCCTAAATAAATAAAATAAATTTGTTGGAAATGCCCGCTGTTAACCACTTTGGGCAAAACCCGGAACAAACCTTTGTAAGTTTTTATAGAACATCGCTAAGAACAATTCGTAGGTCAACCTTTAATTGGGAAGTGACCGGCAATTAAGAAATTTAATTCTTAAAAAACTGTTACCTACATATGAAAGAACTGCACTGAAATAATCGCTGTAAACTCTTAATCATGCAGCATCATATAAAATAAACTACCGCACTTTCCTTAAGGGCCTCACCGATTTTACATTTCCCCTCTAAGATTGCGATTCACACGACAAGAAGCATCGGTGACTAATTTCGTCCATGGTCTGAAAGAAACTGAAAATTCAAACAGCTTTTCGATAAAACGATCATTTTGATATAATGATAGTCAGTCATTGCTGCTGAGAGATGAATGTAAAGAATCCATGAAAGTTTAGATCGTTTTTGAGAAACTCACCGCAGGAACAGAAATACAATTTTTGTATCAAATGCACATGCTGAAGAATTAAGAATGAACAATTTCACACTTAATCAATTAAGAAATCAGCAAATATCTTAGTTTTAGACGATAGAATAACACAACCACAAAACGATATTTTCCTGCAATTCAGAGCCAAAGCATTAGTGAAAACTGGATGAAGATGCATAACGGTAGATTGGACAAATTATTGTCCAGGTAAGAACATATGCAAACCACCGAACAATGTTATCTGCATTTTTCTATAGCTTTCATCGCAACAAATTTACATTTTTTAAGCCAGAATTTATCATTGGATGGCGTCTATATAAATATCAAGTTTGGAAGACCGAGCTTAAATTCAGTTCAAAATGCGATATCTAGATGGTATCAGATTATTATGCATAGCGATTTTTATTTCCGAAACTGCTGGCGAAAATGCCGACTTTGAACGATTTGCTTCTGAAGTTCTGAGTTTTATCAATGAGACTACTACATACGTTCCACGCAGTAATAATGATGAATTCTTTGGAAATGGATCTAACTCTGATAGCGCGTTAGGTAAGATGTTGCTAATTTAATTGAATGTTTTCTTAAAGTTTGGGTGTCGCTCTAAATTCACACTCAATTTTTAGATCATGGCACGTATGATTTTATAATAGTGGGTTCCGGTTCAGCTGGTGGAGTTTTAGTCAATCGACTAACTGAAGTTGAAAACTTCACAGTCTTATTAGTGGAAGCTGGATCGGAAGATCCGTTTGCGTCTAAGGTACTTGGACTATATACTTATCTGATGCAATCCAGCTATGATTGGGGATATTACACAAGCGCACAAAAATTTGCCTTTTTAGGTATACAGCTTTTACAAACATTTTCTATCAGAAATTGTAATCTGTTATTTTAGCTAATACCGATAGAAAAAGCAAATATTACAGGGGAAAAGCGCTGGGGGGCAGTAGCACTATAAATGGAGGCGGAAACACTCGCGGTAGCACTACAGATTACGACAAATGGGCGGAACTGGGAAACGATGGATGGTCGTTCGAAGAATGTCTGCCTTATTTTAAGAAAATGGAAAAAGCAGATTTTTCTGTTGATATTGACGACGAGTTTCACGGATTTGATGGACCCGTTCATGTAAATGTACCAGAAGATACTCCAGTTTTGGTAAGATATGCAGATTGCACCAACCAAACAGCTCAGCTATTAAAACTCGTTTTGTTGCGCAAAGCAATGGGACGTTTGAACCTGTACTAAGAATATGTAATTTAACAATATTTATTTTGAACCACCTGATTTATACTAGCAGTATTAATTGATGCTGTTTTAGACTGAAGAATTGCTAAACGCCTTTATAGAGTTAGGAAAAACTGAAGGCGATTATAATGGGGAAGATCAGTTTGTTGTAAGCAGACTTCAATCATTGCTCGATTATAATACGCGTTCAGGCACCGCTCACTCCTATCTACGGCCGATATTAAACCGAACAAATCTGGTGGTCAGTTTGGAATCGCTGGCCACAAAAATTATCATTTCCGGCAACGCAGCCACTGGCATTGAGTTTTGGAAAAATGGAACCAAATATACCGCGTCTGCTACAAAAGAAGTGATTCTGTCTGCTGGAGTAATAAATTCTCCTCAGCTTTTGATGCTTTCTGGTATTGGTCCAAAAGAGGAACTGGACAAACATGGCATTGAGACCATCGTTGACTTACCAGTAGGGCAATACTTTAGTGATCAGACTGCATTCCAAGGAATGTTTTATAGGTAGGTTATTTACTACGCTGAACCACGCATTGGCAAACGATAGGAATATATTTTGTGCCTATTCTGTTCTGTCTTCGAATTTATTAATTAATTCGAAAATTTTTACCAACTACAACCCGTAAAAATGCCGAAATTCACCACTCCGGTTTTATAATTAATTACTAAATGTAATTCTGTCTATAAATAATTATTTAACCGCACAATTTCAATATCTAGGTACAAGAATATCAATGTTTTTCAGAACAAACTCCACATTTTACAACGATACCTTGCTGGACTATTTGGACTTATGGTACCACAATAAGCGTCCACTCATCCCCGGAAGTGCAACGCAAGTAATAGCGTTCTACAATGTTAATGGAAATACTAGTGAAGGTTCCGATATTGAAATTTTGATTACAGGCCCTCCAGTTAACGGCCCCACTTACGGAGAAATGTAAGTTTTGAAACAAGAAAAACCTTTATACAAATGCATATTTAACAACAAACATCACAATCTTTCAATTATTCTTCAATTATTTTTCTAATTCCGACGATTTAGAAACGGTCTGCAAGGCGGTTGAAATAGCTAAAAATTTACAAAACACAACAGCATTTCAACGCTTGGGAATCGAGCCGATCATTTTAGATCTTCCAGACTGTGATGCGGATTATGAGAAACTTTCAAAGGACTGGTGGATCTGCAGCATTCAATACCTTTCAATTATCGTAAGTAAATTYAAGTTGTGTAATAATTTSATGCATGCGATACAATTTYAAAACAGTGGTTTCATGATTACCTCAAAAATAGCTCAAAATGTAAAACAACAYTATTGTTGAATTTAACATTATYAATTGTGGCAATAAAGRAACGAAKACATTTTCCAACCTTTGGGCATTAAATATATCGGAAATGTTCCAGTTACTACTGAATTACYTGGCAAAAAACGGCATTAAWGATTTTTCCGTTAYTTTCAGGGTTTTCATCCAGTAGGAGCTACTAGAATGGGAAAYGATACGCAAAACTCCGYRGTRAGTWYAACACTCAAAGTTCATGGAATCGACAATCTTCGAGTGGTKGACGCTGGAGTGATTCCCCWACCMATATCAGGTCACACCAGCACACCCACAATGATGATTGGGGAAAAAGCTGCCGATTTGAYTAAATATGAATATTCTTAATAAAAATGTTAAGTTTAAGTCATATTTTAAAGTGCAGTTTCATGCTTAAAAYWGTCCAATGCATTCACTGATGTTTAAAATACTACATTTTATAASAATGCTAATCATAATAAAGGCAACATACATTTGCGATGATAATGTTTAGCCCTTGTTCCTCTTCCTATTGTTTGCGTGAATACTATTTTAATTGTAAGTGAATACTGATTAAACAAGAATGGCAAATTATTTACCTGATATTCTTGCATTTTGAAGCTAAAAAACTTTGTGAAGCTCAAATTGTGTCAAAATTTTATTTTAATATCAGTATTAATAAACGGGTACAAATAGTGTCTATTTATATAATGACTATGATTTGGCACTCTTTAAATGTGATAATGATGTTTATTACCGCACTAGTGCTTTTT